GGCTGCATACGGGTGAATTCCAGATTACAAACAAAGGGTGTAATCACAATAACCTGCACACAAAACAAACAAACAACCCAATGTCTTGAGGTAAACCCCAAGAGCTCCATACAAAATAATCAGATAAGATCACAAGGTCTCCAAGATAGGCCAAGGTTTCTAATCCTAAGTCCAAGAAAAGTCCCATGCTCCAGAATGCCAAGGATAGTAACCATATAGTCCAAGTACCATTAAAGATTTTTAGGGTTTAGGTTGATTATTAAGTATCTTAAGAAAGGAAAAGAAAAGCTCAAGCGAGCAAAGTAAAAAATGGCAAGAAAAGAAATGCTCAAATGAGCAAAGATGAAAATGGCATGAAATGTAAATGCTAAAAGTAAATAGTACATAAAGCATAAAAAATAATAAAAGCATAAAGTAAAACAAGTCAATAATTAGTGGTTAGTTGGATGACCATCTTGAAACTTGCATTTGGAACTCATTAGAGGATTGGTAGAACCAAAGCCTCCACACAACAAGTTGTATTTTCTTTTTATCAAGTATATCATCTATTTGGAATTCTCATAAGTACCATTTAATGATCAACGATGTTTAGTGATCGGAGTTGACCAAAGGTGTTGTAGATCCATTAGAGGATTGGTAGAACCAAAGCCTCCACACAATGAATCTCAAGGTTATTGGATCAAATTGATCAAATTAACATACTTGGGCTTGCAATCATAAGTTTGGGCCACGAATGATCATTTATTCGAATCGGGACAAAATTTAGCGCTATGTTAAGCAATCATAAGTGGAATTATATAGAAGTCGCACCTATTTTGAGGTTGGTCAATAGCAATTTATGTACCATTTGTTTTGAGATATTATATAGAGATCATGCTCCAATAACACCTAGTGCAATAAGAAGGGGATGACATGAAGAGGGATATGGAAAAAATATACAAACCACATTTGAATTAATTTTAATCAAACTATTATTAAAATCATTCATCAATTTTTATGGAGTTAAACTCAACACCATAGATTCAATGATGTTAATAAAGTTCATGATCCAAAATATAACCCAAGATCAACCAGAAAATAGTCACAAAATAATATCACATTTTAATATATACAAAAGGGTTAAAAATAATGTTTAAAAATAGAAAATAAAGAGAAAAATACCAACTATGTTCAAATTAATCAAAAGATAAAAAGTAAGACCATGGAAAAATCAGAAATGGATCCATATATTTTTATAAAAATTTTGGTAATTTTTAAAAGTCAGAAACTATTTTTAAACTATTTAAAATTACTCAAACAAATAGATAATAGGTCAAAAATAGTAAACCTCAATATAAAATTCCATAAAATTTTCAGAAAGTCAAAAGTATGCAAAATAATATTTATGAATTTTTTCAGAATTAAAAAATGTCAGAAAGTATTTTTTTAAGTAATTAAAAGAAAGCAAATGATTCAAAAAATACAAAAAAAATATCAAATGTCAAAATAAAAATATGAAAAAATAGTCATGAGATCAAAAATAATTCAAAGTATTTTTGTTAATTTTTCCATCATTTTTGGATAAAAAATAACAGAGTTATGAATTTTTGAAAATTTAATAAATAAAAAATATAAAATCAATAAATAAAATAAAACCAAAAAGATGTGGATGATCAAATCATAGTCAAAACGCGTTAGTAAGCTGATCCAGTGGACCAGGCGCGCTATGCTTGATATGGACCTTAGTGAGATACACATAGGATCAGAAAAAGGGCAACTAATGAAATTAAAACGTTTGGCGCGCTATCATTGGCGGAGACGAGACATGTCATCGTCTTCAACCTCCAGACACCCTGCAATGTGGATTTTGTGAGATCCTTCAAATGGAAAAATTAGAATCCCAGGCTAGTATCATTGAACTCATCTCTTCAAGACGATTCTAACACCACCATCGCGCCAAATTTATATAAGGTATGGAGAGAGATATGAATCAAAAACCCAAAAAATTGTGAGCACCTTCAATTTGATATTTCTCTCTCAATTCTCAATGGATTTTAAAATTGTAATCAGCATTAGAATCAGGAGAAGGAGTAGAATAGATTAGTGCTTGATTTAGATCCAAATGGTGGAGAATTCTACCTTTTCGAAGTTCAAGGAAGAATCTCTGAAACTAGACTTCTGTAGCTTGAATTATGGCTCGTTTTGATTGGTTTAAGTGCTGGAGAGTTTGTATGATGCTTAAGGATGATGAATTCGCAAAGAATTTTGGAAAAGGAAGCTTAAATCTCAGAAACTGAATTCAAAAAAGACGGGTTCGTGTGAGGTTTTGGCAGGGTGTTTTTGGCTCTCAAAGCTTGAAGAAATGAATGAGGGATGACCCTCTATTTATAGGGAAATGAATGGGAATGAAAATTGGAAGAAACAAGGAAGTTTGGAGGGGAATTGAATGAAGGTGAGCACGGGTGAAATGTGACTTCATTTCCATCAAAACTCAACCAAATCTTGCGTTTTGGGATGCTAATCACTTCTAGCAAATTTGCTAATCATGTTTAAATAAAAAACACGCATAAATCTTGTGTTTAGAAGTCACATTATGGATTTCAAAATTCTGACTTTGTGGAAATTCAGTTTCAAGTTGCCAAATTCAAATCCATGGAATTTCCAACTCAATGGATCTTAGGGCATGATTCTTGATGCTTTAGAAAGATGAGGTTACAAGCTTTGCAATGGAAAAAGAATGGAATTAAATGGATGCTTGAGCTGAAAGTTGCATTGAGTCAAAGTTGAAGAAAAAGTGTTGACTTTCCATACTTAGAAATATTTCAAGTTCTTCTTTAAAAATGAACTATAATCTTTTGCATCCAAACATGGCCTTCCACTTGAAATTTGCTCTTGACCAAAAAAGCTGGCCAAAAATCATGAAATGACCTATAATATTTTGTATATTTAAGGAAAACTCCATCCATTTTCCCACTTTGCACATAAAAGAAGCCATAAAGTTCACATCTTTAAGATCATTATGGAAAAAGAATAGGCTCAAGGTGATAGAAATTGACCAAGTTATGATCATTTCAAGTCACACATGGAAAATTGGGGATTCATATGAATAACTTGTAATCTTTCTTCTTCACCAAGTCTCTTCCACATGAAAAATCCTTGGAACTTTTGAAGTGATTTGTTGATAACCCTTTGAAGAGAAGGATGTCTTTGGAATCATCTAAAAATACCAAAAGATGAGAAAGATATACTCCTTTGAAGTTCAAAACCCTAGCTTCTAGAACAAGAAAATGCCTTGAGGAACTTTGACAAGTTTGAACAAACTTCTTGTACCAATATTCTTCCTTTTTGAATAGAAGTTGTTGAGTATGATAATGAGGACTCATAGCCACCAAAACCATTTCCATATCTTGAAATTTGAGGGAAATATGTCCTTGTGACCAATATGAACAAGGCCTTGTCCAAACATAACAGCTTCTCCAATCAACCCCTTGTACTTTTGAGTCAAATCTAATAATTTGAAATGTGATGAACCAAAACAAACTTGCCATGCCATTCCCTCCAAAACCACTCCAATGGTGAGGTTTGAACTTCTCAAGATTTTATTGGCTAGGGTATTGTAGCGATAAAAAATGTAGCGGGGTAAATCGGAGATCGAATTATTAATTAATTCGTCTCACAAAAGCAAGAGTCGCCACCGCGCTTTATTATTTCCAAGGGAAAAGGGGAAAGAGCGAAATAAAACCCTAAAGTATGCAATGTAAATAATACTTTTAAAAGTAATGAAAATACAAGGCGTTTTTGAAAAGAGGTCTATGGTTCGGGGGTTGGTTATACAATGGGAAGGTATTAGCATCCAATGTATCTATAGTATTCTATAGGAACCTTTTGAAATATCTGTTTATTAAAATGTTCGTTTGATTAAAAATAAATTGTTTTGGCCGAAGATGGGTATGGACGAGTTTTTGAAGATACGAAGACCTAATGTCGAAGTTTTGACTTAAAAGGTGTGAGTTTTTGAAGAAATTGGATATTTGGGAAAATTATCCTATGTTTTTAATGAATGGGGGTATTCGCTCGATCGTGTAAGATATATTTGATGACATGAAGTCAACAAATTTAATTCTTTCCCTTGGAGTTGATCATAAGCAAGTAGGTCTAGTAATCGAGCAAGAATCATATATAAGTAATTAAAAATCCAAAAGAAACAAACAAGGAGAATAGTGACAAGATAAACTATAAGAAACTAAATAAACTTACAAAGAAGAATCATGAATAAAAGGAAAATGTAATTAGAGGGTTATCTAAACTAATTTTGAAATTCTAAGGTTACTAAGTAAACTAAACTTAAATTCTAAAGTTTCTAACTAAACTAAACAAGATTTTAAAGTTAATAACTAAAACTAAATTAAAATTATAAAATTACTAACTTAAAATTCTAAAGTTAATAAATTAAATCTAAAATAAATTAGAATTCTAAAATTACTAAGTTAGATCTAAACTAGATTAATCATATAATTATTAATTTAAATCTAAACTAAACTAATTTAAATCTAAATTAAGTTAATTATAGAAAGAAGTGTGAAACATAAAATTAGGGTGGGAGTAGCAATTTAGAATGGGTTTAAACAAGAATAAAATAGATTGGCCCACGATTACAAACAAGTTCAACTAAACTACAAACTATGGATCTGAGATGAGTAGTAAATGGAGGTGTGTATGTACTAATTCGTTGGGGCTGAATGATGAAGAGAAACAACATATTGGGCTTAAGTTGGAAAAAAAAGCTGGGCTTGGTTGAGGAAATTGGATCGGATCATGGAAGGCCCAGAACCGGAAAAAAACAAAGCTGAACAAAACCCTAGAAATGCTATAAGCTGGCCGCCGCTACTTGTTGGAATTGTAAAGGGAACATCAGATTTATTATTGTTATTATTATATCATTTTCCAATAAAAAAGATTAAATAGAAAAATTGAAACAAATATTAAAGATTGTATCGATCCTTTCTCTGTCATCAGTATCAATGCCGTCACCTTCCTCTTCTCTCTCAACCGCGTCTCTCTCTACTGCTGACCATGATATCTCTGTTCATCTTATCTCTCTCAAATCGATAAACTCTCCTCCCTCTGCTTTTCTCAACCGCGCCACACAACCTTCAATCAATGCCACAACCTCCACGAAAACCTTTCCTCAAACCCGATCCTCACACTTTCGCCATGGAAATCCTAACTTCCTCATCTCTTCCGCCATTTCAAAATCGTCCTCCATTCTTTCTGATCTGCGACCGGAGTATCGCCCCCTTTCTTGCGTTGTTGACGAGTTAGGGTTAGATTATGTTCAATAAGTGGGTAGCCGGCTAAGTCAATGGCAATCGCGGAAGAGAGGAGTGTGATGGGGTTTTTAGAGACGAAAGCGGATGCGGCGTGGTGATTTGACGTTATTGTTGGTGTTGTGAAAACAGGGTGCTTGCAGAATCGGAATGAGTTTACTGCTAGTTGTTGTGAATAACTTGGCGATGGAAGGGAGTTAACAAGTTGATGTTGTGTGTGAGGAAGTCGCTGGTTTCTGTTGGGTGAGTGCAGTAGGCAGAGATGGAGAGGTTGGAGGAAGGCGATCGGTTAATGGAATGGGTTACGGTGAAGGTGGACATTAGGTGAAGATGAAGATAAGGGTAGGGAATGGAGAGATGAAGGGAAGTGGGATGGTAATTGCTTTTTTAGCGAAGAAGATGGTGAAAGAAATTGAATATAGTATTACTGTTATTGAGGAATTGAAAAAATACTGCTATCTCTTTTTTGTTTTGTGCAGTAGAGGAAGAGATAAGTTTACTACTAGTTGTTTTGGTTTTGTGGTGTGTTTGGCGGAAACAGGAAGGGAGTACTCGGGTCTGTCTGAAGGATCGGTGGGTTGAAGGAAGCATAGGAAGATGAAGGGATTAAAGGTGCTGAAAGTTATGATCCACAATAAAGAGGTAAGACAAACAACAACATACCCCTTATTAATTCAAGTTTCTGTAACTTTAGACTTACAAGTTTCCATGTTCAATTGTTCAGCTGAGCAGTGATATGAAGATAATGTAAGCACAACACCTCAGCTTTAAAGAGTACTAAATCAATATTAGTTTTACTTTGAGCTTTTCATCGGTGTATTAATCAGATTCAGAAAAATGAATTCTCTGAAGCAAATAACAGATGACAATGCATATCAGGTAAAATATGTCTTCGAACTTTTCATCTCACCATCAAAGCCTTATCCTACTTAAATGAAATCTACTTATGGACTGATACAAAATGCAGGTCAAGTTGAAGCTCAAAGATAAAATACTCAAAATGGTGGAGTTGTATTACCTGAAAGAAATACCAGTTGCTTCACTTGAGTAAGTTCCTTTCTTGTTCTTTTGGTTTTCTTGATTAAAAAATATCTCTTTGTTCCTCTCGAATTTTCTCTCTCAAAAAAAGGTCCAACCTCATTGTGATAAAGCTCTAAATTATATAGTCTCAAGATTAAAATTGGGAGGGAATTGAGTCCATTAAGAGCATTTCTGATCTATGCTTTTTGGATGTAAGAATGTCTAACCATTTTGTGCAATCTGGCCTAGCTTGACAGGTTTTTGGCATCTTGCAGCAGGGTTGATTTGGACCTCAAAGATAGGGACAAGGCAAGATTTTAGAGCAACAAATAGCAGTAGTTTGGACTTGTGTGGACAGCAATAACATAGCATAGTAGTTTTTTGGAGTGTAGCAACCTGTCTTCCATATTTTGCCAATTGTAATTCCCGTTTTTTACTATTTTGGCCAGTTTTGGATGAAACTCTATTAGTGCTAAAACAGTCTTTCTTTTTCTTGGTATATTTTAGCTTAGCCATTTTTAGCATAATGTAACAGTAACATTTTGAAATGAAGGTTGTGTCTTCCGTGTGAACCTCTAGTAGTAGTTCAAAATTGCTATTTTTATTATGACAAAAAGATAAAAGGCCCAACAATAATAATAACAATAAAGTAACAAAAAGAAAATTTTGTTAGTAAGACAATAATGACAAAAATCGATTATTAATACAAAATGCAAAAATGATTGAAGCAAAAAGCAACTGAAAAAAGTCAATTAATAATTAGAAATGAAAACTCAATTTCAAATCTAATTATTAATTAAATAAAAATGAAATATGTAAAATGGTATGAACTATATTTTTGATATTTTTTGAATTAAGAATTGCGAATTTAAAATACTATAATGCTAATTATAAATAACTTTTGTGATTTTTCTAATAATGCAATAGTAAAAAGTGACATGAACTAAAATACACATTTTTTAGATTTTTTTCAAATAAGACAAAAATGATAAATACAAGACGGAAAAAAATATACGCTATGTACGATTTGGTAAAGGTTGGACAAGACATGATCAAATTTCATTAAATTCATAAAGCGACTTCTAACGTTTTCATTTTTCGTGGCATTTCAAAAAATAATCAGCTCTTGACTTCTAAAGAAAAGTTGTAGTTGTTGTCAAGGAGAATCATGTGTAAAAGAACCACTAAAAAAATGTCGAAATTCGAAGAAGTTATGAATTTCGAAATCTGACCCGAGAAAATGGCAAAAATGGGTCGAATCGCTTGTGAACGCTTGCTATGTAATGACACAGATGGGAGGTGGGATCTTAGGTCAAAAATTGGGGTATGACAGCTGCCCCTATTTAAGTTTCTTCTATCCGGAGATATGAAGATTAAAATCTTCGTCTCGATGAGATTGAAGGTACTTAAATACATAATACGCAATTTTTTGCCCTAATATACCGCCATTATGTTTATGATATGGATGTAGTATTTAAATTCATGGAGAATGATACTGTATGAGACAGAAACAATGCTGGAGAAACCAAACACCAACAAACCACATGAACATAGATTACACACTATTGGGGAAATGAGCCATCGACTTCAAATGATAGACTCTTGACGGTGAATAAAAATTTGAGAGAATACGACCTCTGACCCTAACAAAGAAGGCATCTTGCATAGGCCACAAAAACAGATTATTGACCCAAAATAACAGTGAGTTCACAACTCAAGGTCAAAGATAGACAAAAAATGTATCAATTTTTCTGATAATGGACTACCAACTTCTGAAGGCAAAGATTTCATAACGAGTCTCTCTGCGAGATTTCTCCAGAGGGATACCAATTAATGCTAAAATAATAATATGGTTGTAGATATACAAGCCGCTCAAATAAAGAAGCTTTCACTTGCTATCGTTCAAATATGTCAATAACATATAAGTTGCTCGAATAAAGAAGCTGCCACTTGCTGTCGTCCAGGGATGTCAATAACATACAATCTGCTCAAATAAAGAAGCCGACACTTGCTGTTTTCCAAAAAAAATACCAATAACATACAAGCTGCTCAAATAAAGAAGCCGCCACTTGCTGTATTCCAGAAGAAAAAAAAGCAATAACGCGCAAGTTGCCCATGAAGAGACCGCCGCCTGCCGTTTTTCCAAAAACAAAAACGTACAAGTTACTCGTGAAGAGCTGTCGCTTTCCGTTTTCCAAAAGAATAATAACGTACAAGTTGCTCGTGCAGAGCTTCCGCTTGTCGTTTTCCGAAGAATAAAAACGTACAAGTTGCTCGTGCAGAGCTGCCGCTTGTCGTTTTCCGAAGAATAATAACGTACAAGTTGCTCGTGCAGAGCTGCCGCTTGTCGTTTTCCAAAAGATAATAACGTACAAGTTGCTCGTGAAGAGCTGCCGCTTGTCGTTTTCTGAAGAATAACTCAGAAGGAAATTGCGATGACACTGGCAGAGAATAAAATCTTCGTCAAAGAGAACCATGAATCAATCCTTCCCGAGGAGATCACATACTTAAATGCGCAAAATAAATGCATCATTCGTCTAGGTGGCGACTTCACTGGGGAAAATCATGAGATAGCCTATGCAAGAGACAACAACTCCCTCCAGGAATAAACCAGAGAGAAAAACAGTCAAACAAGACTCCACCCAATGAGAAAGTAACTTGATTGGGGGATTCATCTTATCCCGAAATGGACAAGGTAGGCTAAATAAAAAAATCATCCACGAGGATTAGCTCAGTTGGGGAATTTAGAAAGGAGCACATTTTCTGCCTAAGCTAACCTTCTACTTGGAAAGAACATGTAGATTGTCTTAATAAACAAAGTATACAACCCAAAATCAACGACAAATGTAAATATGCATGCTGATATAAGTGTAAATGAGTAAATGAATGTTATGCTGACAAAACAAACAGATGGAATAACTTGAAGACAATAAGATGTCACGACATAATAGATACTCGGCCAATCTTTAAAAAAAGACGGAAAATAACTGGAACTGGAACCACAAAGCAACGTCAGAGCGTATCACGCTGCAAGGCTCAAGTCTTCTGAGGAGAAAAGTATTCAAATCCAATCTTCTAATACCAATAGACTATTGGCATGAGACAAAGCGTACCACACTACAGAAATCTGCTCAAATAAAGATAACCAAAACAACGCTTAACTGGAAAAACTGGGGAGTCACCAAACTTAGTACCACGAGAAATGCAAGTTTACACAACCAACACCTCATGACGATTTTGAAATAAAACATGTTCATCATGCAAGGATAAATTACTGTATTGTTTTGCATTTCGTGGCTTGACCATCCTCGGAACAACCGTTAATATTCTCTTCATTATTCACGACACATTTTTAAAATAAGAATACTTTAAATAACTTTGTTTCAAATACTTCCGTAAAATTAAAATTTTGCCCACAAAAGGTAAATGCTCAAATTTCATTAATAAGATGGTAGTTCGCTAACAACGCGACTCCAACGGTTTACAAAAGTTTGGGAAATAGTACATGAAAGAAAGGGTTACACAAAAACAATGATTACTATTCTCCCTAACAACTTCGAATTCCGAAATGTGCTCAAATACCACAGCCGGGATGACCAAAAGCATGTCTAAGCCGCCCCTTCGGGTTTTCAACTTAGCAAACTGTCAACTCAAACCTAAGCTAAATATTTCTTGACTGTATCGGCGTTTATGGAGCGCGGGAGCTCTTCACCGTCCATATTTGTGAGAATCAAGGCACCTCCAGAGAAAACTTTCTTAACGACATACAGTCCTTCATAATTCGGAGCCCATTTTCCCCTAGAATCAGGTTGGAAAGATAATATCTTTTTGAGCACAAGGTCACCTTCTCTGAACTCGCGTGGTCGAACCTTCTTATCAAAAGCCTTCTTCATTCTCTGCTGATATAATTGACCGTGACACAATGCTGTCAATCTCTTTTCTTCAATTAAATTCTACTGATCATATCTACTTTGACACCATTCAGCCTCAGGAAGTTTAGCTTCCATCAAAACTCTCATAGACGGGATCTCAACCTCCACGGGAAGTACGGCTTCCATGCCATAAACTAGGGAAAATGGGGTTGCACCTGTTGAAGTTCGAACTGAAGTACGGTATCCATGTAAAGCAAACGGAAGCATTTCATGCCAATCTTTATAAGTTACCACCATCTTCTGGACAATCTTTTTGATGTTCTTGTTAGCAGCTTCAACAGCCCCATTCATCTTCGGCCTGTAAGGAGAAGAATTATGATGTTCGATCTTGAACTCTTCACAAAGCTCTCTCATCATCTTGTTATTCAAATTCGAACCATTATCAGTGATGATCTTGCTCGGATGCCGTATCGACAAATGATCTGATTCTTGATAAATCTGACTACCACCTGTCTGGTTACATTAGCATAAGATGCTGCTTCCACCCATTTAGTAAAATAATCGATCGCTACCAAGATGAAACGATGACCATTTGAAGCTTTGGGTTCAATCATTCCAATCATATTAATTCCCCACATAGAGAAAGGCAAAGGTGAAGAGATAACATTGAGGAGGGTCGGTGGCACATGTATCTTGTCCGCATAAATCTGGCATTTATGACATTTCTTCACATATTTGTAGCAATCAGATTCCATTGTCATCCAATAGTAACCAGCTCTCAACATCCTTTTAGCCATTGTATGTCCGTTGGCATGTGTGCCAAAGGATCCTTCATGTACTTCTTGCATCAGCATGTCTGCTTCATGTCTGTCTACACATCTGAGCAAGACCATGTCGTAATTCCTCTTATATAATACTTCTTCATTGAGGAAGAAACTGCTTGCTAATCTCCTCAACGTCTTCCTATCCTTATTGGATGCCCCAGGAGGATACTCTTGAGTTTGAAGAACACGTTTAATGTCATAGAACCACGGTTTGTCGTCAGTAACCTCTTCTACTGAGAACACATGAGCAGGTCTATCGAGGCGCATAACCCGGATTGTAGGCACATCGTTCCAACCATTCACTTGAAACATTGAAGACAAAATAGCTAAAGCATCAACCATTTGGTTCTCATCTCTAGGGATATGATGTAATTCCACTTTGTTGAAGAAAGTTAACAATCTTCTAGCATAATCTCTGTAAGGGATCAAACCAGGATGACGAATATCCCATTCTCCTTTGATCTGATTAATTACCAATGCCGAATCTCCATAAATATCAAGAATCTTAATCCTTAGATCCACTGCTTCTTCGAGACCCATAATACATGCCTCATATTCAGCCATGTTGTTCGTGCAGTCAAACTTCAATCTTGTCGTGAACGGGATATGAGTACCTCGGGGAGTG